TGATGTCACTTAGAGCCATAGCTCCCTTTAGACGCGTTTAGCTAGTCGCTGTTAGACTGAAATGCGGCGTGGAAGCTGGAATTTGCACTTTTTACCTGGTTTTACCTGGTTTTTCATGCATTGCTCTCGTTCTGAACTCTGCAAACCTTTTTTGGCCGAAGTTCCGATCCACACACAGATAAAAACCCTCTGTTTACCACCACATCGTTTCCATCAGCTCAGTGAAAACAGGCAGACTTACGGGTTGTGTTTAAGTCCTTTTCGTTCTTTCTAAACCGCTGAGTCCTCTGTGGGACGTCCTCAGTTTCCATGTTTATTTCATCGATGTGGAAAGGTGCGTTTCAGAGATCCGGCTGGCCTCGAACTCAGCCGGAGTCCGAGGAAACTTGAGAGTTTTGCTTACGCTTTTTGTTTGCCGCTCGCGTCAGAAACTCTAGACTCAGAGCCATAAAGCCTACAAACTGTAACAATGTTTGCAGCTTGGCTTCGTCGAACTGTTTTGAAAACCAAAAGTTCAGACTCCGGCTGCTGAGCTGCAACCCGGCGTGAAAACCACGGCGTTGACTCAGATTTGGAATTAAAATGCCGCGTAGCTGCTGGTCTGAGTCGATGAGACCGTTTTCTTTCTGGCCTAAAAATACCTCGGCGCCATTTTAAATGGAATAAACCTCATTTAATGTGTTCGTTTATATTGTTTTGTTTTATGATAACCATTCTGGGAGCCTCGTGCATCCTGAAATTGTGAGTTTTAAACTTTAATCGGCCGGGTTTTTAGGGGCTCTTCAGGGGTCATTAAATATTTGGGCCCAACGGCAACCTTAAGAAAATCACCAAAAACGGATCCACAAGGTTTTCACGAGGCTTTAGCCAAGTGTTTGATAGTTTTGGGCACAAAAAGGGATAGTGTCTTGAGTATTCTCCTATGCTGTGTCAATAAAATGAAAAAAGGAATAAAAGATGTTTAAAAAAATGATCAAATGTGTGGCCGATTAAGTCTGGAGCCGTTACCCATAAGGGGGACATTCATTTAGGACGCGCAATTAAATTGTAGCTTTGAAGTTTTTGAATCCAAGCTGCATTTGACCTACAGGGGGCACACTAACACCACCTTTTTCTTTTAAATACACAAGTTAAAGGACTTCTACTGTCTTTTCACAATACATAAAAGTACAAAATACAATTAAAAAAATCTGAAAACAAGAGTAGAAACATAGTTATGTGGCAAATGAGTCCCATGAATCTCATGAGATTGTCACATTACTTATTAACTATTTTTATAAGGAAATGTTGATGAGAAGTGTGTGTTTATTCAGTGTAAATTTAGATCCAGGTAAAATTCTCTGTTTCAAAACAGAAGTATGGACGTAGCTTCCTCCTGTGAGGGAAAAATAAGAATAGTGTTGTACATATTTTTAATGAAAGTCTCACCAGAAGCAGCTAAATTACAAATATCACAATTTTATAACTATATTAACTAAATGCATGTTCAGTTTGTGAATGTGTAAAACCAAACCAAAAGTTGCAACATTTGCTTTGACTTGCTTGATATCTTCCCAGATACGCCACGCTAATCCCGTTAAGTTGTTAGCATTATTCAGCCGGTGGATTTCCCATGTTACGACCACCAGAAAGAATCTCCTCCGGTTCGTTTTTGGGTTTTAAACACTTGGCCTCACATTATCCTCCGGACAGCAACAAATGATGGCAGTCCTCTGAGGCAGTAAAGCAAACCCCTTCCCCGACCATGACACTGCCACCGCCGTGCTTCAGCATGCAGCCGCTGATCCGCTGAAAACACGTCTGCCTTTGATTAACAGCAATACTCTAAAAGTTCTCAGAATAACTGGAAGAATTAGCTTTATTTTCTGGCTCCTTTTCCACACGTATCTGATCTGTTTGACTAACGTTTTTTTGTCTTAAATTTCCAACTTTATGGGCTCCATTAGTCATTTTTATAACCAGATTCACATCCGAGGTGACTAATCTGTTTGTTTTTCTACGATTTGATTAAAAACAACAGCAAAATGTCACGCTTAGCATTAAAGCGTCTGGTTTTTATGTCTTTGCGGTGGACCAAACATTTGCTGAAACATCCAAAAAGTGTTAAATTTCACATGTTTGTTTGAATTATGACTCACAGGCTTTTCCACATCAACAGCGGTTTAGTTTCAGTCTGCTGTGCTTCTTCAGCTCGCTGCCGTCTTCTGAGTTTGACTGGAAACATTTTCCTCTTTGGGGCTCTTTTCAAGGTTTTACATTTGCATCCAAAACACAAAAAGTATTCT